CAATTAACCACCAGAAAACTGGAAGTGGATCTGTGGCTCAAGTGGTAGAGCACTTGCCTTGAGCTGAAGAGCTCAGAGGGAGTGCCCAGGCCCAGATTTCAAGTCCTATGACCGACAAAAAACCAACCAACTCAACAAAAACTTCATCTAGAGGCTGTGGCTATGATTGGGCTATTTTGAAATTAGTTTATTTGTCTGATATCTATGATTAAAAGAAAGAAGAATGCTTTATAACATACTTTATACTAAAAATTGTTCTTCATCATTTAAGGACATCACACTTTAAGATTGTTAAGCTATTTATTATTAAGTGAAGTTTCTTCCTAAGTTTGCTAATTTACAACCAAGAGAATTTTAATTTTCTGTATTCTTCTAAGATAGGTGATTAACAAGAAAGAAATATATAAATAATTTTTTCTTAAGACAATTATCCTGACTTAGAAGCTAGTGTTGACTGGATCACTTTTTTTTTCCAGTGCTAAAGTTTGAACTCAGAGCTTTGAGCTTGCTAATTAAGATCTACTGCCATATACACACCCCCAGCACTAGAAATCTTTGAATACAAAGTAATGTCAATGCCAATAAAGAAAATGAGATTCCTTAAACACTGAGAGCATGAGTCCTTTTGCAGCATGGTTAATATCCTTGATGTGAAGCTTGAATGACAATGGGGGTCTAACTCATTTGAAGAAAGTGATCGTGCAAGAGGTGAACTACTATAAGGTTAAAGGAATTTTATCAGAGTATTTATCAATTAATTTTAATTTACAGTCATCATTTTCCTATAAGACAATTGTCTTGTCAGTTTTTCTACTTAATATTAAACATCTACAACATGTCAAGTATGGGTTAGAGCATATGGCTGCTAACACAAAGAGCTCATGTTCTAAGGAAGATTTGCTTGAGCTAGGTACTGATTGCCCCCCCCCCCCCCAGGTCGTGGGCCTGGGCACTGTCCCTGAGCTCTTCAGCTCAAGGCTAGCGCTCTATCACTTGAACCATACTGCCACTTCCAGCTTTTTCTGCTTATGTGGTGCTGAGGAACAGAACCTGGGGCCTCATGCATGCAAGGGAAGCACTCTACCACTGACCACATTCTCAGCTTTCCTATTGTATCTTTTTTTCAGATAATGGGTAGGAGAATCTTTAAAAATGATTATTTAGGATTTATGTTGATTGGAGAAATTGACAGATGTGGGTTTGAACTGTCACTTATTAAAGTGACATGACCTTACTGAACCTGTTTCCTCATCTGTAAAATGAAATATATCCCTAATATTTATATCATAGGTTTCTGAGGATTAAATAAAATTAAAGATATTAACTACTTGGTCAATAGTAAAAGCTTAAAAAAAAAGTCACCTCTATCTTTAGTAGATTTAAAAAGATAGAGCTTCTTTCTTTTTTTTTTTTTTTTTGGGTCTGGTCATGGGGCCTGAACTCTGGGCCTGGGTGCTGTCCCTCAGCAGTTCAGCTCAAGGCTAGCGAAGATAGAGCTTCTGAAGTATGTTTTTGAGAAAATAGAGAAGATATAAAATATGAAGTGTAAGTATACCTCAAATTAAATGCTGAAATATGACAGTGATTATGTAACTACAAGGAACAAATTAAGATTCTTGAAACCAATGTGAACATGTTTAGAGATCTAGGCAAATGAAAGTAGGAAACCTGTAGCCCGGTGATTCTATCCTGTAATCCTAGATAGAGCAACAGAATTTCAAGCTAGCCTGGGCAGGAAAGTTTGTGAGACTCTTATCTCTAATAAAACTACCAAAAAGCCAGAAGTGGAGCTGTGGCTCAAGTGGTCGAGTGCCAGCCTCAAACAAAAAAGCTGAAGGCCCTGAGTTCAAACCTAAGGATTGGTACAAAAGGAAAATAAAGTAGCAGACCCATCCTAGCAACAAAGGTTATGTTCATGAGATACTGAATTAGGTTGAGCTATGCAAAACTGCCACCTTTTCGGATACAAAGAAAGTTAATTTTAGCAACTTTATATGGTCAATTTAGATGTTCAAAACTGAAGAAATACAGAAGTAGAAACTGTACTGTGCCCTGAAGGGAATTGTCCCAGCTGTGGTCCAGTAAATCTGGATGGCCTGGTTTTTAATACACAGTGGGTAGGTAGGTCTTTTCAGATACAGATCAAGCAGGGTTAGTGAAATCATCTCTTTGTAAAGGAGAAAGCAGTTAAAGACTCCAAGTCAATGGGTGCTTAGATACCTTTGGAAACCTCCATTTTGTGACACTGAGGAATGAACCCAGGGCATCTCACTTGGGAGAGCAGTGCTCTACCATCTGAGCTACACCTTAAGGTCACCTTTAGGGACCTCCCACTTTCATTACATTCCAAAGAATAAAAACAAACCAACAAACTTACATTAACACTTTAAGTAAGGAAGGTGATGATGATAAGGTAAAAAAATAAAGTGACACCCTTATCTCTTTATGTGAGATTTCTCAAATCATCTTGGGAAGAGCATATAAATAATATCCAGCACTGTGCTTAAGTGATGTTGATTTCCTATTTGATATTGTATTAGGTCCTATTGAAAGGCAGCCTTTTACTAAGAAAATCTCTTTCAACAAAGTATATATATATATATATATATATATATATATATATATATTTTTTTTTTTTTTTTTTGCTGGTCCTGGGGCCCGAACTCTCGGCCTGGGAGCTGTCCCTCAACTCTTCAGCTCAAGGCTAGCGCTCTACCACTTTGAGCCACAGCACCACTTCCAGCCTTTTCTGCTTATGTGGTGCTGAGGAAATGAACCCAGGGCCTCATGCATGCAAGACAAGCACTCTACCACTGAGCCACCTTCCAAGCCCACTTTGTTTCTTTTTAATATATGTGTACACAGTTTAGCAGTGCAATGATCAAACCTGGGCCCTGTGCATGTTAGACAGACACTCTACCTTGAGCTACATGCCCAGCTATACTTCAAGATCTGATTCCAATAGGTTTAGAAAACCTTCTTTCAAGAATCTATTTTCATATTCAGCCATCTTTAGATATTCCAAAGCAATTTTCTTTCTAGTGTAGTCTGAGGTTTTTGGAATCTGACTGTAGTGAGAGGTGCTTTTGCGATATATATACATATATATATATATGTATATATACACACACACACATACGTATATGTATTATCGTCTATCTATCTATTTTTTGGGAGGAGGGGGCAGTCTTGGGGCTTAAAGTTAGGGCCTGGGCACTGTCCCTGAGCTGCTTTTGCTCAAGGCTAGCACTATAGCTCTTGAGCCACAGTGTCACTTCCAACTTATTCTGTTTATGTGGTAGTGAGGAATTGAACTCATGGCTTCATGCATGCTAGGCAAGCACTCCACCTCTAAGCCACATTTCCAGCCCTCTATCTATATCTTAAGAGCCTTGCATCCAAAGCCCAATGGTTAATTCAGGGATGTTATTTTCTTTTGCTTTTGTATATCACAATGGTCTACAGACCAAAAAAGATGAAAGTAATTTCTTCCTGTCATTGGCAATTAGCATCAGAAAGAGATGAATTTAATTCCTATGACCAAGTTATGTGCTCACTATGGTGACTGGAATGACCCTTTGCAAAATGGACATGCAATATCCCTACTCTTGAAAAACACATGAAAATTCCTGACATATCTCTTTCAAGGAATGAGCTACCCTCTGTCCAACATTAACCAGGCCAGAACAGAGTGACCATAGCAATATTAACTCCCTTTCTGTGGGCCAATTTACTTACATCTCTGTCCTGCCCTTTAATCCAGTCATTCTCTTTTCTACCCACCAGCTTAATCTATGACTTTCATTTTCCTTTAAACACTCAAGTGTAAAATGGTACTATTCAACTCTCAAAGTAAGTCTTCTAGTTAAATGAGGCCAATTTCTATTAAAAGTTAAGTTTTATTCTTGGACTTAGAATTTCCAGTCTTGTTTTGCATGTTGGTTGTGTTTTTTTTTTCTTTTTTTGCTTATGTGGTGCTGAGTAATCGAACCCAGGGCCTCAGGCATGCAAGGCAAGCGCTCTACCACTGAGCCACCTTCCCAGCCCACGGTTGTATTTTTTTTTTTTAGGTCAGTTCCATGGTCATCTATCAGGTAACCATACCTTCTCATCCACTGAGCCTAGGTGACAAATTTAAATGTTTTGGAACTGAGAAGCAAACTTTGTCTCTTAAGAATTTTTTACTTAGGACACACAAAGATCTAGTCTAAATGCTTGCATAACAAAACCTCCTCCCACAGCCCAACCTCACTTATTACACAAAATAAGATCATCGTAATAATGGAACACTAATTCTTGCTTGAGTCAAATTTCTAATGAAAGGGATATGAAAGGGACTGTTTCCACTGCTTAAATCTAACCTGTTTCTTGGCAATATGATTATGATTGATTAAAAAATGGATTCTGCCTCATTGGACGTATACACGCTACATAGAAAGTCTTCTTTAAACCTGCCCGGGCCAGAATGACAGCTCTCCTACCGGGTGTGAAGGGATTTGAGATTTCTCCCTGGCTCTAAGTGCCAGCCTCCAGGGCACTCCGAAGTGTGTGCGGTGGGGGTAGGAAAGCTGGGGGGATGGGAACGAGATGGCTCCGACAGTGAATCAGAGCCGAACGTGTGAGAAAATCCTCCTCCGGCCTGGAAGGGGGTGTCTCCCCCCAATACCAGCGCCCTCCCTCCGGGCTCGTGGGGCGGGTCTGCTTCGCTCAGTAGCAGCGGCGGCAGCCCCGGGGCGGAGCGGCGGCGGCCTCCGGGCAGCACCGGGAAGTCGCAGCTCCGGGAGCGCGAGGCCCTGGGGACATTCTGCCGAGATGGAGGGGACGACGAGTGCGGCCCAAGCCACCGGGGACGGATTTCCTCCCCAGATCAGCTCCCCGACAGCCAGGAGGGTCCTGCTCCGAAAACCAGGCAGGTGGAAGAGGCCTGCGCCCAGGCCTGGCCGCGGCAGCCGGCGACCGAGGCGGGCCCAGCGGGGTAACGCGCGAGCCGTAGCCGCTGACCGAGAACGTACTCCGCCTCGGCCGCTTATTGTTTCTCTCCTTCCACCCAGGGGGCAAACAGGAAGCGCGCTGCCTAGCGGATCGACGGACAAGCGTCCGGACCAATGAGCGCAACCGATGGAGAGCGTGGAAGCAAATAAGAGCGGAGAAGAGGGGCGGGACTTCCGGGCGGGCTGTCACCCTCTTCCCCCCTTTTGGGCTGGAGGCTCCACCTTTTGTGTTTCCCGCACAGTCAATCAAAATAGGAAAAAAAAAAAATCCCCGGACCGCTCCGGCCGTGTCCGCCGCCGCTTCCCGCATCCTCTCCCGTCGCTGCCGCCTTCGCTCCTCACCATGTGTAAGGCGGCGGGGAGCCCCGCCTGAGGTGCCCTAAACACACTATGACCGGTACGTAAAGCCGAGAGAGAGCAACCCTTGCTGCCTCCGCCGCCGACCACAGCCTGCTCGGGGCCGCCGCCGCTTCCTCCCGGCCCCAATGTGCGACCGAGTGTCCGAGAGGCAGAAAGCCGCACTCCCCTCCGCCTTCTTGCCCTCCCCGCCAGCCACGGCCCAGCCCTCAAGCCCGGCAACGCTGTCCGCCCGCCAGGTGCGGGGCGGGCGGCGCGGTCCGCCGGGAGCGTGTCCCCCTGTGTGCGGGCGCGGGCGGCGGGCGGGCGTGTGTGAGTGACTGACGGTGCGAGAGGAGCGAGCGCCGCGGAGGGAAAGGGGAGGAGAGGAGCGGCGAGGAGAGGGGGCAGGGGCAGCGCGGGGAGGAGGGAGGAGGAGGAGGAGGGTTACAGCCGCGGCGGGCGGGGGCAGCAGCAGGAGGGGAGGAGGGAGCCGCCGCGCCGCCGCCGCCGCCGCCGCCGGGGGCGGGAGGGGGAGGGAAGGGGCCTCGGCCCGGCGCGGAGGAATCGCGCCGCGGCCCGCGGGCCCCCCTCCCTCGCGCGCGCCCGCCTTCCTCCCAACCCCCTCCTCCCCCCCCCCCGCTGTGCCCGCAGCTCCCGAAAAGCCCGTGAAACAAGAGGAAATGGCTGCCTTGGACGTGGACAGCGGCAGCAGCGGCGGCGGCGGCGGCCACGGCGAGTATCTGCAGCAGCAGCAGCAGCAGCAGCAGCAGCAGCAACAACACGGAAACGGCGCGGCGGCGGCGGCCCAGGTGAGGAGCGGCGGAGCGCGGCCCGGCTCCCCCCTCGCGCCGCTTTCTCCTCCCCTCGCTTCTCCCCTCCCTCCTCCCCTCCTCCCCCTCCCTGCGCCTCCCTCCCCTCCCCCGCCCCGGGAGCTGCCCGCCCGAGGCGCCAACGCTCCGACCCCGCCCGCGCTCCCCCGCCCGCCGCCTTTTTGTGCGTGTGTGAGTGTGCGAGTGTGCGCGCCCTCCCGGGGTGGGTTCCGGGCGGAGGGGACCCGGCGCGCTTCTC